CTGCCATAGGAAGGGATAAATAATATTATAACCAAATCAATAGATTTGTGTGAGACGGAATTTTTGATCTCACACTATATAATAATCAAAATAATAGTTGGGATAAATACCAATGTCAAATTAGCCTTATTCAATGCTGTGATATAAGGAGCTTCAACATACTTGATCAAATCATCTGTAATAGCTTCAAATTCTTTTCTTGAAATTGTAATTCTAAAATCTTTTTCTTCATGTAAATTTTCTATCTTTTTAATTTGTATTAAATTTATTTAGACAAATAACTATTATTTATAATTATTATATTACCATAATTATTATTATTGCTACTACTATTTATAATTTTATCAGCATTAAAAAAAACTTACTGAAGCTATTGTTTCTGTGTTAGCACTAAGAATTTGTTTTACCCTATTTGCCTCTTTAAATAATTTTGTCATAGCATGATCAGACTTAAAAATTGATTCTTTCAGCTTACCACTGTGTAAATCATCAAATTTTGTTGCAAAATGTTTCTGAAGCTGAAAATCAAATTCTTATCCTCCAAGAGTTTATTGTATTCAATTGATAAAACTTCTAAATTAACCAAAGTCTTGTTGAAACGACCCACATCCTTGTTATTTACAATATTAAATTTGATCACACTAACTTTAGTGCTTCCAGCACCCATATCATAGAATAAATGGATTTGTGGTTCCTCAGTAATAGAAGAAAAATGTGTTATGGCATAGTTTATTCCAACTAATATATTAAACTCATCAATAATGACAATTTTGAAAGGTTATAAGAAAAGACCTGTAGTAATTTTGATCAATAGACTAACCAGCTGTCTGATCATTAATCAAGAATAGTACATGTAATCCAGCAATTTCAGCAGCATCCAAAATGGCTTGTCTTTCAAATTGATTATAATATGGTGGGACCTTGGTTTAATGTGATATACATTATTAAATAAAGATTTTTATTTTACAATTAAAAATTATAAATAAAAAAAATTATGGTAACTTATGGTAATAATGCTATCTTTAACTTCTTCTTGTGCAGTGACTTTAGCTTGCTCTTTAGCATAAGATAATTGCATTGCAACCAATTCCTCAACTGAAAATATTGTTGTTTCATTATGTTGAAATAAAACAGTTCATCTTATCAGATCTTTTATTATTCTATTAAAAAAGTGTGTTTGATATTATTGTACATACTTATCATCTGCTAATCTTCCAAGAAGCCTTTTAAAACTAAAGTAAGTATTACTCAGAAATCTTGTCCCCTATATAAATTATTGATTTGACTGACATTAATAAAAGTCGGAAAATGTTTATTTTGAAAAATTTATTTGATGTTG